TCAGACAACCTTTGACCCTTTGCTGACGTCACACGTGGGAAAAATCACGTGTCCAAAGCATTTGGGTCAGATAGCTGAGGAAGACTGAGTGATTCAGTCGAAGTTTTTCATAATGTAATTTACCAACTCAGATGAACTTTCATGCCAACTGTGCAATCTGTAGCATACAACTTTTTGCAGTGCAGCAATAATCCACTAGAGGGCACTTTTTTTTAAACATAGACAGCATTGAGAGATGCTTTGCTCTTGTTAATGCTGCTGTCAGCATTATACTTTGCTGCTTAAAGTCTTAATGGATGGAACTAATTTTCTACATCACCTGCATAAGCACAGACGTCGATGAGAGTTTTGGCAAAGCTCTTGGTGGGTTCAGACAGGACCTCCAGGGATGCCAGGATAACTTCCACTGCCTCTTGTCGGCCTGTGGAGAAAATATAAAATCTAATTTAGGAATGAGAATACAGGGGTCGCCCCAGAAATTTTTAGGGGAGAGGTGCTATCTAATCAGTTGATCTAAGAGAAAACCCTAAATTTGAACATTTTGGGAGAGATTCTAGGATTTTGGGGAGAGGGGGAGCACCCTTGCTCCATTGCTTGGGGATAGGCCTGGAATAGTATAGACTTTCTGACACGTTTAAACACAATTGAAGTCACATGTCCATGTGGTCACACATCAGAAACGATGGGTCATTCTTACTGATGATGGCTAAAGTAACATTTTTTGTAGGGGGAGGGGGGCAGAAAGAAAGCTTTCTTTACATCATTTATACATGTTCATATTACTCAGATAGGGGGAGTGCTTTGAACATTAAACTTAAAGGAAAGAACACATCACACAATTCCTTCAGTTTCAAGGATCACTTTTGTTTACAAACAAACAAATGCAAACTTGTGCTTACCCAGGTAGAGCAGCCTCTGTCCCAATCGTTTACATACAAACAAATGAACAAACAAACAAACAACATGTCCTTACCTAGGTAGAGCAGACCCAGTCCGAGGGACAGGAACCTGCCGTACGTTTCCTTCAGTTCCAGCGCAGACTTCTCCAGTAGTGTCTGCATGATCACAGACGTCACCTCTCCATTCCCGGAGCCACAGGCAATCATGCCACAGGCCAGGGCAGTGATTCCTGCTACCTGTACAGTACAGGAAAACAAAATGTTTAGACAGAGTTCCTGGAAAACACACATTGTTGACTTCTCCAGTAGAGTCTGCATGATCACAGATGTCACTTCTCCATTACCTGATCCACAGGCGATCATACCACAGACCAGGGCAGTGATACCAGCTACCTGTACAGTACAGGAAAACAAAATGTTTAGACAGAGTTCCTGGAAAACACACATTGTTGACTTCTCCAGTAGAGTCTGCATGATCACAGACGTCACTTCTCGTTTCCAGAACCACAGGCGATCATGCCACAGGCTAAAGCAGTGATTCCAGCTACCTGTACATGCCCGGAAAATATATGTGGTTAAGAATAAGACCATTCAAGAAAAAATACACAATTTGTCAGGATAATTTTAGGAAAAAACATAGTCCCAGAACCACAGGCAATCAGGCAGCCAGGAAAATACACATCGTTGGCATCATTTGGAAAATTTTTGTTCCGTAAAATTTCTACTTTAGGCATGTCTAACCCTCAGAAGTCAGGGAACAACAGACAATAAGCCAGATAGCCAGTGAGTTAGTGAGGCACCAAAATCCTACAACACATGCTTTTTGACAAGAAAAAAATTGTACAAATGTATGTAACACTCAGTAAAGAAGACCTACCTCCATGTTGGACTTGGAATCTCCCATGGCAGGCAGTAGAAGCTGTAGAACATCATCACGGTTGGACCCGGCATAGGCTAGACCAAGTCTGGAATAGGGAACACCACAAAAGGTCAGACACAGGAAATGAGGTCCCAGAGCTGGCCAGGGGCCAACAGAAAGTGGGCAGCAAGTCTGATGACTACCATAGAGAGGTAGACAGAGTAATGAATTAATTCAAGGATATATTGAAACCTCCATTTCTTATCTTTAAAACATCGATGTTGGTAGGTTCTATAATGAAGTTACCTCTTTCACTCAACACAATACATGTTGCTCACTTCGCAAGAATTTTAAATTCTTATCTTTTGACTATATGAGTGAATATATGTGCCTTACCCCAGAATGGCCCCAGTCCTCATGGTGTTACTGTTGTGTAGGATGTAGTCAGACAGCAGGGCCAAGGCAGGGTCACACTCATTACGTACTCCTGAGTTCACTATACCACAGGCTAGCAGGGCACCGGACTGGGAAGGTACATGTATGAGATCAGTACAACAGTAACTTCAAGGTCTTTGCAACATCTTAACCCTGAAATGTCCTCTAAATCTTCTTCCAATTGCAAGATCAGCCTCTTCTTTGAACTCCAAATCCTGTCTGATAAAGGTCTGATCTTTTAAACCCAAGGTTGATGGGGGATTGGGGCTGAATATCCAGTTAAAGATGGAAGCTTTCCCTTCAAAACCTGCGATGATCCTAACCTTCAAGTAATACTGTACTCAGGAGAATAAAGCAAAGGTAGTATGATTATTCATCAGTCTGTAGATTACTGGAAGTCGTTCCAATTTTGCAGCAGTGGATGAAAAGGATGATTTTGCTGTATAACAGTTGAAACAACTGTTAGTAGTAACCCAACCTGAGTACCTGACCTGAGTAACCCAAAGCAGCAGACATTTGCCGTGTGATGTTTTGTGAAGTCATGAACATACATGTAGATGTGCAGAAAATTCAGCAGCAAAGTTCAGGTTGGACAGAACCCAGCAGTATAATGAAATCTTATGGTGGCTCTAACCTTGATATAGTCCTCTGAAGAGTAGAGGTACTTGTCTATCTGTGTCAGTCCTCCATCCACATCCCACAGTAGGATCAGACCCAGGGACGCTGTCGCACTCATCATACCTGGGGGGGGGGCAAAATATGGAAATTCAGACTTTTTGTGTTTAAACTGTTGGAATTTAGATAGATAGCAGTAATTTGGAAACTCTAAATATGTTATACAGCTTAATGTCAATTTTGTACGGTTTAATTAAGGCCCTTATATGATACCATGGTATCCCAGTCATAATTTTTATAGTGGATTTTGGTCAGAGAAATTTCAAAAATTCTATACTAACTACTAGACTAAGTGAAGTTTTCAGACATCTGAAAAGGTACAGACAAATTTTTGTTGTTGGTTCTCGAACTTTCACAAAATATATAACATCCCTGTGAACCAAGAAAAGAAATTGAAGTCCTTAAGTCCTTATGGATTTCTTTTGCAAAGCATTAAAAGGTCAATAAAGGTCAGTGACCCATTCCAAAAGGTCACCTGGGGTCGATGACCCCTGCCTCACCATGTTCTTTGTTCTTGTACAGCCATTTGTTCCCATCCTCCATCAGGAGTTTGTCCTGACCGAACCCCGCGTTAACAAACCCGTTAACGAACGAGGAGGCTAGGTTCTGTCTCGCTGAGTCCACCTGGGCACCGCTCGCTCCAAAACCTGGTCCTGGAAAATAGAGGAAGGTTTTAAAAAAAATAAATTTGATATTCAACAACGTTTGTTATCTTTCATTCTAAATGAGACACAAATATGTGGTTTTTATGATTTTGAAAGAAACAAAATATAACATGATGAAAAAATAAGATTAAACAAAATAAAATAATTTGCTAAAAAAACGTTTTTTTAAATTTAAAGAATATCATTCTTTTTTAAAAGAATTTTAGGTTAAAAATCACTTGTCTACCATTAAATAAAATAAAGATTTATTTTTTTAGTAGAAATTTTTTCCAAAAAAATCCGGGGTTTGATATGCATGGCTCAAGATAAACAGGTTGCCTGATACAACATTGCCATTGCCCCTTGTTGGCCAAACTCCACACTCAAGGCCAGTACTAGTGCTAATTTACAGCAGTGCTGTTTTACAGTACATGTCTGTCCAACATGATGAACGAGGCCTGTTAGATGAACATATTCCTCCTGTCATGCCTGAAGCCCCCTGACCCTGCTACAGTACATCCTGGAAAAATGGCAGGATTGAAACTGGGCACCTCTGGCACACAGGTTCTCAATCTTAGATCAGATGTGCCACAGACTTAGGTATCAGGGATTGGAGAAGGGTTTTGATGGTAAGAACCAAATTCACAAGGATTTGGGGACAATATGGTTGGAAAGACTAAAGGTTTAGGAATTCACTAGAACTCACTGGTCGACTCCAGATGAGATTTGTAGATGTCTTCTGGAACTTTGGGCTCCATGATGTCCAACTGAAAAAATTGAAAAGTTGAACAATGTTTTATATTTTCATGCCATGCAGTTGTAGTACTGTTAATTCATTTATTTTCACAGTTGAGAGTTACATGTTACAAAAAATCAATCACTTGAATGTCAGAGTGCAAAGAAACACAACGAAGAAAAGAATGTGATTCATATTGTGACCCCAAGAAAACTGGAACAACCTCCCAACCTTTTGCTAGCCAGACACACAAACAGGTAGTGTGTGCTAATGTGTAGGGTCACTACTTCAGGTTAGTCTGGACAATCTATCGTCTCACATAACCAAGTTTGAGAAGGGTAAAAAGAAAAAATGTTTTCTGAACTATCAAGAGTTGCCACACAAAATTGCCAATGAAAAAAGGTAGAAAATTCATTAGCAAAATTTAAATTGCCACTGAAATGTCTGAGTAACATTTTTCTTAGTATATCCTCACAAGAACTTTACTGTACCTCTCTAGCCAGAGCCAGGAAGTTATTGTTTAGGTGAACGTTGGACATGATCTCCATCAGATCATCATAATCCTCCAGCTCTTCTGGTAACTCTACATACACCTGCTGTCTGCCCAACATGAACGCCATCTGTTTCTGTACCAACCTGGGGTAAACAAACAAACAATAAACAAATTGTCCTCATCAACATAGATGCCATCGGTTTCTGTACCAACCTGCAAAAAAACAGTTAAACAAACAAACAATATGTCCTTTCTTGCAAAAGTGAATTCTTATTAAAATTTTTTCTTCTTACTTTTAAGTCTGTATCAAAAATGCCTCTGCAGTTCATAAAAGAGCTGCTAGGAGGTCTAGAAGTAAAGTTAAGTAACTCACCCTCTTTTACATGTTGTGAAGATGTCTTTCACGAGTTCTGTGTCGTTGAGTTTCACAGCGCAGCGCAGGGCCTCAGGGTAGCGGTTAAACTTGCGGAAAATGTTGAGGGCAGTTCTCAACAACACGGCGTCTTCTGGCTCTGGTACGTACTCCACACATCTGGGAGGGGACAGAATGAAACAAAGTCAGTCTGAGTCTTTTCCATAAGTTCAGTGGGTCAACTTCGATTACAATGGACTACCAAGGCAGGTGGGTTCTTTAATATGCTTGAGGTGTGGCTCTTCTAAAACCTGTCCCATCCCTAACCAAAGCTAGGTACTCATTTTCTCCTGAGATGATTGAGTGAGGAAATAGGTGCAAAGTGCCTTTCCAAAGGGCACGTTAGGGCCTGCTAGAGATTTAAAATCAGATTCTGCACTGCTTGCCTTTAGATTCTAAGTCAATAACCTAGTCCAAGACCACCTAACAGTGTGTCATGATACTACTAAATCAGAGCATAGAGGGTCCAAATTACAACATAGGAGGCCCCTATGCTCAAACCACATTGTGGCTAATAGGTAACAATTGAAGCCTACTTTGTCAGATACAGACAGACCTGTTGATACATGCTCTCATTCACATAGTTCTCCAGCAGGTCCAGCCATTCTATCTACAACTCTTCCCTCACCACAACACCACCTTTAAAACCTGGGCCAGACTGGTTTGTTTGTTTGTTTAGCAGTATGTCAGACTGTCTTACCTGGTGAGGTATAGGCAGACCCGTTGGTACATGCTGTTGTAATAGGTGTTAAGTTCCTTTCCCAAGGACACATCATTGGAGCCTACCAGTACTAGGGATTCAAACCCAGAACCTTAGACTACTAGACAAGACTACCTTTAGGGCAGCAAACGTTCCTACCTTGTGAGATACAGGCAGACCCGTTGGTACATGCTCTCGTCCACATAGTTCTCCAGCAGGTCCAGACGTTCTATCTCCATGAGCAGATCACAGGCGTCGGCCTCGGCGTTGTGCTGCATGTTGTATGGGACGATCTCCTTCGCCAGCGTGATCAGCTGATCCCTGCGAGACGTGTCATCCTCTCCAACCTCCTGCCACTCTGTAGCGATCTCTGAGGCAAGGTGTCTGGAAAAAGGACACAAGGCGTTTTATCTACTTATACCCACTTAGATGTTTTATTTTAGATGTGTTTGTGTAATGTTGTCTGTCTGTGCTATGGGCCATTGAGCCTGAAATAAACAATAAATAAAATAAATAAATATAGATATTCTTCTTTTTTACGTTTACTGCTTTTGTGGAAGGATTGACGTAAGAAGTGACCATCACCTTTTCAAATCTTTACTCGGAGACCAAACAGTAAGGTTTGATCTACTAACACCTGGAAGAACCCTACTGTTTTCAATTAGTATGGTGGATCTTAAATGTGCTTTATATTAGGTGTGTCTCTCCATTAACATAGGACCTCCAGATTTATGACCCATCCGAGACCAATTTGCAGTTGATCCATATCGTAGATAGTACATCTTATGATTTTTTTTCAAACAGCAAAACAATGATGTGCCTGACCAAGGAAGTAAACATTATGACATGCTGTAGTACTACCTTCTCTCAGTAGGTGGCACTTTTTGGACTCTCATATCTTATGCTAAGGACATGGACTTGAAGTCACTTTACTTACTTGACATATTCGTGTCCCCATGACCCCAGCTCTTCCTTAGATCCTAGCATGCGGAACTTCAGACATTCTCTCTGGTCACTGTTCACCATCGCAAGCACAGACACAATATCTGCACAGAAACGCTGTGTACAAGAGCACAAACATGAAACTGTCAGTATAGCAAAACAACATATTCTTGATCAATGACTGTAAATAACACTCTATCTATTGAAATATAGATTTTTTTTTGACAGGATTGAGAGACTGGATTTTAAGAAAAATCAGAAAATTACAGTAATAGCTGTAAATTTAGACAATTTTGCGGGAATATCTGTCAGCGGCCCAAGTTGATAAATTGACTAATTTTACCACCTCTGAACTATATTTCATATCACTCCTGTCCTTCCCCCCAATAACTAAGATACACAGAGGCACTGGAAACAGATTCCCATACAATGTAAGGATGGAACAACATTTTAAGTGCTGTGGACTTGAGAAAGGACTGTACCCATCACCTTGTTTCCCCCTGCATCTTGTCGTACACAGTCTTGAGAGTGTTGTAGTGAGGACGGAGGAACTTGAGAGGTTTGGGGACTGATGTCATGGAGCTGGTGGATTCACGAATCATCTTCCTCAGGGACTCCAGGGCAGGCTTGTACAGCTTGGTGTTACTCTCCTGTATAACAAGAATGGTTCTATGAAAAACAGATTCTTCTTCTCCTTATAATGCCCATCTGTTGAGAAATCAGCTTAACTGGTAACAGTGTCCAGTTTAATTCCGGACTAATTCCCATATCTCAGCACGTAACCTTACATGTACATCTAGATGGGCTAATATTCTAAGATATAGGTAAAATGATATAAAGAAATACATAGTAGCCATCAGTGACCCCTTGGAAATTAACCCAATTCTGCAGAATTCTCCAGAATTCTGGCTCCAGTTCCTCCAG